GAACACGCCTACTTCAATGAACGGTCCACATTGAACAATTGACTTGCTCCTTTTGACTGCGACCTTGTCCTCCTCACGCTGTTGCTACTCAGTTTCAATCACACGCATCGTCGGCCTGTATACACTCAACTGTTAATGGCAACACAGGAACGACCATGACCGTGAACCTAATACAGCTCTCACGATCAGCACTCGAAAGTACGGTGATCTTAATACAGCTCTCCCGGTTTCTCACAAAACAGCAATGAATCAACTTGTAGTGGTATCCGTTCATCGAATTCTATCAAAGATGTAAATCTGGTGGAGGAGTACTGTAGTGTATCTATTGCTACAAAAATATAATTCCATTTCACTTCACATGTCAACTCGATTCTGTGGAGGGGTACCTTTTCATAGATGAAGGTTGACATTGTCGAAAACAACTTTCCCCGCAGTCACTTCCCTGGTTTATCTACTAAGCTCTTCTTGTCTGGAATAATAGTTGAATTGATTGTAAAAAACAAAGAGTCAATATGTTAGTAAAATTATTTCATTATTGTCATTTATCTACGAACATAAACATAGTTGTTCACTCTCATAGTCAAATTGTTATATCTTCATTGAACAATCACATAAAATTACAAAAAAAGGCTCATTTCTTATCAATTGTTTAGTTAGATGAAGGATATTTTTTTTTCTAAGAGAAAAAAATAAGTTTTTAGAGAGAGTTTTTTTCAATGAGAGTTATCTTTGTAGCTAAACGTATTATGTCTTGAATTCCCAAGTACATAAAATAGCAAATAATAGAAGTGCAATCGAAAACAACAGTTTAATTAGACAGGAGAATGAGCTTTTAATTTTTTTGGAGAAGGGGATATTTTATGAAATACTTTATTTAAAGAGTAATTTTATCAATAATTATTTTTTTTTTGCTCTTGTTATATCTAAAAATTTTGTTGACACGAAAAAAAAAATTTATTTAAGGATGAAATAGATGCAATTTTTCGTATATATTACGCAGCTGTAAATCATAGTCTTGTACATTGCATATTAGTCAAATTTTTTGATCTTTCTTAAAAAATACTTAGAGCATTATTTTATAAAGTGTATAGGTTATGCGAATTCTCATACTTATCAATACATATAATACTTATGAAATTGAAAACTCTTAGAGGTCTGAGGGACCAACAGTAAATTGCAAACTGAAAATAGTGTTTTCGAACACCCTATGCCAAAAAATGTGGAAATAAATTTGTAACTTGTAAAAATTACTTTTGTTATTATATGCGAAATTTCGTAAATCTAGCCTAAATATCTATGGAGGTACGGACACTTTTATTAAAAACCAATTTTCTTTGTCTTGCATTTTATTTTTCTTTGCTATATCTTTGAAAATATTTAATAAAATTAAATAAAAAATTTTGAGCTTGACAAAATTAATTACAAAATTATTGCTTCAAACTTAGAGAAAAATTTGTTTAAAACTGAGCACGATATGAGTAATTAAAGTAGTTCCTTTATTCTCCGCACACGCTGGAAAAATTTCAATTTGTTTTTTTTTCTTAATTTTGTAAGGAATCATATTTGGCAACTAATAAAAATGTCTGGTTTGAATATTTTAAAAATTTAAAAAGTTTCAAGCAATTTTCTAACTAGTTTTCGTAGATTTTAAAAGAAAGCTAAAAATAATAAGGGGTTTCCCTCAATTTTCATTTTGTACTATTAAACATTCGTTTCATTTCAAAGATTATAGTCTCGGTTTTTGTGAATTTCCGTAATCTGTTTAATTCTTTGATCGCGACGGGCGAGATTACTCGTCTTCCAGAAATATTCGTTGTGCTCTATTGCTGTATTAGGGGATATGGTTATTGGTTACATCTGATTATTATTTTTTAAAATTAAAACAAAAAAGTTCTAAGGGAATTTGCGTTTTGTTCCAATTTTAGTGACGCGGGTGGGATAAAGACACGTCATTGCTACAATTAAATTTTTTAAATAAATTATTTTCCCCTCCGCTACGAAGTGTTAGAAATTTTTGTGGTTTGCAACTAATTTATAATTACTTTTTTCTGTTCTTTAAACAACTCTAAGAACAATAATTTAAAAAAAATTATTTGATAGGAAGAAGAACAATTAATTTTCAAAAAAATAAAGAAATTTAATCTTACACCCGTCGCACAAGTTATTTTGATTCTCAAACTAATTTTCACATAAAAAAGCAAAATAATATTAACTCGAATCTCAAATGCTGTCATTAACAATTTGTAGCGGTTAAAAGCAATTAGAGCTAGTTAAAGTTTTTTTTAATTTAGTACCTTCCTCTAAGTATTACTTTTTTTGCTTGATTTTATATTCCCACATAATTTTATTAATATAACACTACAGAATTCTGCAGTATATACACCTAAAAATTGTTCTAAATTTAATTTAATAAATTATTTCTATATTGTACTTGGGCTTTCTGATAACTAGTTGGGAAAGTTGGCAGCTCTGCTTGACTTCTAAAAAATAATTTTATTCCGTTTTGATTATTTTTTAGCTGATTTAGATGTTCAGGAATACCTGAAAAAATTGATTAGGGGTGTGATGACTGAAGATGACTCTCAACAAGAGAAGAAAAATTATAAGGCTTGTATATTTTTTCTGATATTTAATGCTCTGTTATCTAAGTGTGCTTTCATTCAAAAAGTGAAGGTGAAAAGTAAGAATGGCAAAATTTGTGAGCTCTTAACGAAAATATGATTTACTTTAAAGCAAATAATTTTTTTTTTGTTGCTTGATTAAATGGGAAAAAAAACTGACTGTGGAATGAGTAAACAAACAGAGAAGAAAATGTAATAAAAATTTTGTATTCAGGAGACAAAACCCAAACAAAGTTATTCTCATGTTTAAATGCTTTAATATTGCATTCAGTCATTACTCAATTCATAACTACAGTTCTTTGTATAGTCCTTTATTAATTTTAAAATAAACTTGCTTTATAACTCATTACAATTTGTTGGATTTTTTGAGGGGAACAAAATAAGAACCACTTTCTATTTATTTTAAATAAAGTAACTTTTGAAAAGTATTTTTTTTAAATTTATGTATATACAATTTCTATTGAAAGTTACGAGTTGAAAAAATTTTTGTTTTTGATTATAGGTCATTTAGGTGAATGAGAATGAGATTAGAGTCTCTAAAGTAGACAAAATAAATATCATTCTTCATGGAAGGAAGAAACCGATCACGATGGTCTCTTACTATCTAAAATTCCTTTTTAATGTAGAGCAACGTGCTGGCATGTCATGTATGGGCACAAGAGACTCAAAACCTCTACCTAAGCAGCATCAGGATTGCCTGACTAGTAAGCATGAATACATTGAAACGTTTTTTCTTCCTTTGCTTATTTCTATAAAATTTATTCCTTAATTGCCTTACTTTTTGTTAGAAATGAATTAACTTATCTTTCTTCCTATATAATTGCACTTAAACTTAAAAATAATATTAAAGGAAGTCACTCTGAAAAAGTTGAAATATAATTAAAATAAGAAAAGGATTTTCACCAAATTCAATGATTTTTTTTCCTTTCAGATTTAAGATTTTAAAAATATATTGACAAACATATGTAATCTTGTCTCTATCTCGGATGTTTAGCGGAGTTATTTGTAAAATGATTTATTTGCTGTATCCTAGCTTGGTTTAGTTGAGTATCTTAAAAGTATTTGTATGTGTATCATCTATTAAATAATATCTGAAGTTAGTTAGCAAAAAAGCAACTATAGGTGAAGGAAAACTGGCATCAACTTAAAAAATTCGCATTAAAAATTCAAACTTTTTCGTCCGTTTAGTCCACTAAGGCGAAATCTTGAATATTATTCTAGATCAACATGATGCAGTTTAATATTTAGGAATGATTTTCAATTTATTTTTAATAAGACTCGTAAAGACTCGTAAAAAGACTAAAAGAACATCAAGAGTTTTCGCATAAATAGTGTGTTCTAATAAAATAGTTTACATCTTTAATCCACAAACATCATTGTATGAAACAAATTCACTGAGACAGCTATTCTAAAAAATAATTTTATTATTCTAATTAAATATTAGAAATATTAGAAAAATAACTAAAAAAAGTAAAAACAATTAAACAAAGTTTCCTTGGAAACAATCAAAAACTAGGAAATATGTTTGAAATTAATTGAGTTATTTATTACTTAAACTAAAACATTTTATATTTAAAAATCTTATCAGGAGTCTAAATTATATATTTTTTCTCTGTAACTGTTCTTCATAACTATTTTATCAAACAAATGAAAAAATATCTTTCATTCAGTATTTTTCCAGATAGTTTTGCTTTTATTTACGTTACATTTAAGTCACAAATGCTTTTTTTTCGTAAATAAAAGTTTAGAATGTGTTACTTCCAGACATGAAACAATTAATGACAAATTGTTGTTTTTTACATACATTCCTGGAATTATTTTTTTTTAAATTTATTACATATCCATTACCCACGAACTCTTTTTTTTTTTTTTTCGTATTTCCTCAAATGGTTGTACATTTTTTCCGGATATTCTAAATGAAATATAATTGGATTAAGATACTGCCTAAATACTCTTCATTATACTATTATTATTATAAATATACATTATAATATGATAATATATGAATCTATTGTTTCTTTCCACGCATATTTAAAATATATGCACATTTTCAAATCATTTATATTTTTTTTCTGAAAATAATGTCAATTAATTAACTTATTTAAAAAAATAATTTTTCCATATTATTAGTTTATGTATAACTCAAATAAAAATTTATAATTTTAATTCAAATGATTTTCTTTTTAAAATAATTATCTAACGCTATCTACAACTATATACGTCTCTCTTTTTAATTCGTGTTTGGATTTTTAAAACAAGCCTTTATAAAATGTTTAAAATCTAGCCGGGCTTTTGACCCCTCAACCCTTATGTCCACTCCCTAAGATTCAAAAAGAAACATTGTAAGAAAGAAAATGCCCTTAGGTGAATTCTGAAGAAGCGTGATTATCGATTCTCAACGAATAGCAGCAAAAAGCTTTCCTACTTGCTCGACTACCAATGAAAAGCACAGCCTGTACGCCCAAGAATACATCTACACAAAGAATGCGATGGGTATATCCTGCAATTCTGCCGCCAAATCACAACAAGTAAGTTAATATTTTAATGCTTTATTAATTTATCCTGAATCACAAGACATTCAGAAACATATGAATATGAAATAAAATAGGATGAAAGCACTGATGACAACAGTAAAAAAATGCAAAATCGCTTTCATCGAATGGATTCGAATGAAAAGCAACATGGCGGAATCTCGCCAATGACGAAAAATCGCGTCTTTCTACTACAACAATACAATGTATCTTTTTCGGAAAATGAAAGTTTCTTTTTTATTTCCGGGAGCTGTTAACGATGTTAGAGAGAATAAATTTTTAATGCTTTATATGATCATTTTGTGATAATATATTTGCAAATGATTTTAAAGGGTTTTCATGATTCAATAGTAATTAATAATAAAATTTTTCAACGTGTCATCTGTCTCGTTTTTCATATAGACTCAAGTTTGATAAATGATTTTTTAAATGAGTTTATCTCGAATAAAACAGATAATGATGATTTAAAGCAATATATCATTTTATTTTTTAATTAATGTCTATTTTAAATATTATGTTTTATTTTTTCACTAAGCGCGAGCATCTGATTTGATTAATAATGTGTTTAATACTAATTAGGTTTTCTTAAAACAATCCATTGTTAAAAGGAAACTTTAAATCATAAAATATGCAAGCAATAAAATATTTTAGTGGTTTATGCATGATTTATGTTTTATTGCTCAACTTTTTTGGTTAATTTTTAAATAAATTAAAGGCAACAAATATATAAAACCCTTATAAATTTTTATATATAGAAGGCATTTTATTATTCGTTGGAAGTAACTTAATGTCTGAATTGTACATTAAATTATTACTAAAAGTCTTTTAAACTTAATATAAAACTCATTAATACATTATTCGCTAATTACATAAACGATTCATTAATCTAATATGTTAATAATATGATCAGTAATTTCTTGTTTATAACGATAAAACAAACTAACGATTAAGTTGAATTGTGCTCCATTTAAGTAGAAATATTAATTTAATCTCAAAAATTTATATATAGCTTACACAATTTCTTTTTCATATGAATTAAGTGGTTATTTACAAATTAACCATTTTGTTTCTTTTGTTTTAATACATTTTTGAAACATCTACTTTTAATATCGAATCCAAAAGTATCAGTAATTTTAAAATTATGAACAACAACTACAAGAAGTGACCAAGATTGACAAAATTTTTTATGTTATTTATAAACACTTCACGTAGGCATTATAATAGGACAGAAATAATTAATTTTTTTAATTATTCAGTTAATTAATAATCAATTTTTTAACTTTTTAATTTAGCAAGATTTTAAATTCATTAGTACTTTTGAAATAAAAATTTTAAATCCAAATAATTCAGAAATAATAATGCTCCACAAAAAGAAATTATGAATTTTATTGTAAAATTAAATTCATTTAATTAGAAAAAAACTTTGAAAAAATATTTTAGTCTCTTAGTCAAATTTTGGTAATAATTTTTAAACTTTAAAAATGTATATAAAATTAAATACTTAAACTGTTATATAATAGATATATATAATAACCTAAATGTATTATAAATTAAAAATAATAGTAATGGTTAATTCGACAAACATTTCAATATATTCTCATCTAACTATTGAAACTTACTTTAAGTACATGACAGTTTTTTTAAGTAAAAAAAATTAACAAAAAATATTATCTAAGAAAAACCACTTATATTAAGATACAAAATTTTAATTATAAAATGTTTATTAATCTGAAGTTTTTCATTGTAATTGAAACTAAAATAACAAGTAAAGTTTACATTCAAAGAATAATAAACGTTTAAAGAATTTCAGTATTCTTAAATAATTTAATTATTCTATAGCCAACATTAGTTCAAATAAATATGTATTCTGGACAAACTTTTTAACAACTTTTGTTTCTGAATGAAAAAAAAATTATTGGAAAATTATTTTATTATAAGCATTATAAACAAATATACATTTTCATTATTATTTTTTACTTAACGTAAAAATGGAAGAAGCAGCACACAGTGTCATGGCAAGGCACCTGGTGCAAAAATACTCAATATCTCAATACAAAAGCTCATTATTAATCTCTTTTGCACTTATATATATATTAAATGATTTTTTA